ACGGCTGGCCGCTAAGGATTTAAATACCCGTTGTTATGCTTCGAAGAGTTATACAGCATCAACGTAAACCTACTGCATATTCTAATGCATACTATATCTTTGAAATTTGAGGGTATTGTACAAACCAGTGTATCATTATTAATAATTCCATATTTTAATAATTAAATTTTGGACTCCTGGTCCAAAACGGATCCAAGACCGTGACGTTTGACCTCAATTTGTTCGAAAACGGAGGCCTATTGAAAAAAAAACCGCTGGAAAAAGGGATGCAACAGTTTTCGATAAAGAAGGTCTGTACCAAAGCGCATCAAAATCGTAATATAAGAAAGGAGTTCGAAATACAAATTGTATGTAAAATCGACTTGATTGCTAGCGTTAAGCAACAGTCTCGTGTTTTATTTATTTATTGGTCACTGTATCTTACTTAACCCGACGCGATAAATGCGTATTATTAATAGCAAGATGCCGACAAGTAGCGGAAGTCGACAGCTAGGACCGTAGAAGTTGCTACGAATTCGCGGCTGGTTGCAAACTCACCGAAGGGCCGAAACCGCCGGCACAGTGGAATTACTCGACGGCTGCCTCCCACGGGACCGAACTTGTCCGCGACAATTTCAAACTTATTTTAACATTCATATAAGCCCCGCGCCCTAGCCCGTACAACACCAGCGAACCGTCGCCTAAGCATCCCTTTCCATGTGTAACCGGAGAACCGACCCACGTAAGTTGCTCTTCCTATATGGAACGGCGTACAGGCATAAGGGTAGCGCGGGATTTACATAAGATTATGCGTAAGCCTTCGTGCATCTCATAGAAAAGGGAGCAACGAGATGGCGGGCCAACGAAACGACACTCGAGGGTGTACTCTTCTTCGGTTGATAATTAGAATAACCTGAGATTCCTTGATTCGTGATTTCGAAGGAAATTGAAAGCCTCAGTTTCAGCTTGTCATTTCTTCTAATTGGTATTTCGAATCTCTGGTAGGTACCTTAAGGATATTGCTATTGGAAGGAAGAGTAATTGTTATTCGACACTACAGGACAGGAATTCTCAATCTTCTCAATTATATAGGTACTTCATCGCAAAATGTGTGTTATTAATATGGGATTAGATTCGTTTTCTTGCGGCATCACGCAACTTTTAAATGCGGCGCGATTGCGAAATGTCTAATTGTACTTCCGGTCAGGTAGGGGAGGGGCGGACCGCTTTCTCTATGTTTTTTCTCTAATTTTCTTTATTTCGGTGTGTTTATTTTGTATCTAATGAATCCTATTTTTCTTTTGTTGTAACATGCGTGTTATATATATATATATTATTGATCTGCAGACGAAGAATATATTTTTCCTTTTTGTATATTACGTTGTGTTTGAATATTTAATAAATGTATCTTCTAAACATAACCTTTTCAACAATTAATAATTACTGTTATCCCAAATTTATCCCAAATTTGTCCCAAATTACTGTTATCCCAAGATTGTTGTGCATAGCATGTGATCTTCCAACGCTAAAAAGATTTCCACCTTGGGATAGACCTTGTAAGCCAAAACTCATTTTCTCAAAAGATTTCGATCTCATTGTATATTTCAATGAGACGGGAAGGATTTATTATCACGTGTAGCAGTCTTTCTCATGGTGTTGTTAAATCTCTCTACCGTTCCCCATTATGTGTTTCGTATTCATAGTCTGCGCGAAAATTGCTCCAAGAGCACACTAAAGGTTATACGAGCTATAAAGTAAGTTCAGCCTACCTTGCCGATGTTTATTTAAGTATAGGAGATGCTTCGAACTTTCTCTTATATCGCTACCCTTTTCCCTTTACCGTAAAGTTATTCCTCTATCTCATTCTCTCGCTTCACTCCAGCTTCCTCGTCGCGTAGCATGGTTTCAAACCAGATCCAGCAACCACGAAGCGAACTTATCGATTGAGCAGGCGCAACTTCGAGATAGTTCACGGATTTTACATCGACGACTCTTCCTGTAATTCCGAATAATTCTGCCCTCTGCTGTCAACGTACCGAAGTCAAAGTTCAATTTCACGAACGATGATGTCTGCAATACCGAAACCCGCGCTAAATGAAACAGGTGAGTATCACCAATTAATAAAATGAAAGAGTTCATCGTGCAAAATTATTTGTCAAATATAGACCAAATGAAAAATTAAAATTTCAACGGTATTTTAGTTTTTACCTCACAGTCACGAATTATGTTACGCGGGTCGGCTATACGTTTGCTGCAAAATGATTCTTCCGTGCTTGCATCAGCTCTGTTGTCCAGTTGTCAAACGACACGAATTTGTAACAGAAAATACAGACGCTCTTGCGAACCAGTACCCGTAGCTGTCGTAAGTACTATACTATATTTTTTAATTACTGGAAAATTCTATTCGATTCGAAATGAAGATGAAACTTCCTCGAATAATTTTATGGATTAACTATAAGTACTTCCAGTTTCAAATTGTCTAATTTTGAGAGCTATGAATTGTCTCACTGTCGTTATGAATTGCTCGTTATTCTTGTAATGTGTCACGCGTAGACTGATGAGCGTTTGAATCTGGGTCTTGGAAAAGTTCGAAACTTTCAAGACTCAGAGAAGTTTCGCATATTCGAATTTATTTCAGGCTTGTGATTTTTTGTTGAACTATTATTCGACGAGTATTCGAATAGAGAAATATTAAAGTATTATTCGAATTGTTAACGATTACTCACTTCAAGTACGTAGGTATTGGAACTGAGGTTTATTTAATTATCGTACAATAATTATACATTGTTTACAAAAATATTGAAAGTGAAACGTTGGTATAGGTAAATGTTTTGTTATTTCCGCGAGTCTTGGATCTACTTTCTTGTAGAAAATACTTTTTACTTTAAAATGTGTTTTATTAGTTAGTTCTGTATCTTGAACACCCGAGTCATAAATGTTCGGCAGTTATGGAACAGGAAGCAGTAAACCGTAATTTCGGTTTTGTAAGTAGAGTTCGGTTTTACATTATGCCTGAAAATATATCCCAAGGTGTGATTTATGTGACGAAAAAGAAATCGCAGACATGAACTGTACGTTTTAAAGATGATGTAACTTAATCTTCGTAATTTTATGAACCGGTAAACATTTGCGGTCCGATAAGATTCAGTAAACAAACAGGCTCGTGTAATTATTTTCAGATTTTTAAATTGAAGAGTGATAATATTTCAGTGTAAAACAATCTATTATTTATTTACATTTTGCCTTTTTATTTTGGAGTTATTCACCGAGCCTATAAATATTACAATTGTATACTAAAAATTAATACATAAACATGTCTTTTCAGTAAACAACTATAATTGAACAGAAATGAGTTTTCCTTTATAAATAAATATAATTCATTACAAATCATTAAAATTCATCATGAATAATTTCTAAATGTACTTTAGAAAGGCACAAAATTAATTTATACACGTAATAATTCATTTTAAATATTTTTATCGTAGATTTTGTGCGGTTGCGGATATCTCGACGGCACCGAAATTTCAGAAGCCATCTCGACGTCGATACATCTCTCTCAGAAAGACATGCTACCGACTTTCTACGCGCCAGATGTAGAACTTTGCGAAGTTGTCGATCATTTGACTAAAGAGCCTGACAGTCACAGTGGCCAAAGGAACGCGCTCGTCGAGGCTGCAAGATTGGCCAGATCATGTATCAAACCAATATGCGAATGTGAAGCTTGCATGCACGGAGCACTCATTATCCCTGGAGGATTTGGCGCTGCAAAAACGCTGTTAGCATTTGTATAAATATTTTAAGAAACGTGATGGTTTTTTAAAATCAAACATAGAAACATTAGACATTTTTTCTGTCCTCCTCGTTAGATAGTTTAGTAAACGATTGTACGACAGTAAAATCTTTTCTTTCCCTTTCCAAATAAAAATAAATGGATGTGATACTCTGATACTCAAATACTTTCTTTTTGCCATATTTCTTAAAGGAGTAACTTCGCGGAAAAGGGAGCTGATTGCAGCTTGCTTCCTGATTTAGAGAAACTTATCGAAGATTTCTATTGCGAGCAAAAACCAATTGGGTCGATTTGCATTGCGGGTGCTTTGATCGCCAAAGTACTCAAAGGTGTTAAAATTACGCTGGGGAAAGAATGTAAGAACTTAAAGAAAACTTCATTAATTTTGTTACATGTCAAAATATAGCAACTTATTTACATCCATGAATTTTCTCATTTTCTTTTCTTTCCAGTTTTCCATGTTAAATTAACAAATTTCAAACTTATGTGTTATTCTTTATGTTTAAAGGAGTTTAATACCTCGAACTTTATTATATCTTTTTAAAATGTGTATTCGTAAATTATTTTAATGTTATAATCGAACAGTCTAGATTTTCTATGATTTTTAATAATATGTTGTCTTATACGTAGCACCAAAAGAAGATTGGCCACATGGCGATGCTATTAACAAAGTCAAAGATATGGGAGCCAAAGTGGAATTGAAAGGAGTGAAGGATGTAACTCGATGTAGAAAGTATAATGTTTTTAGTACACCAGGCTGGATGTATAAACACGCATCTTATGCAGAGATTCACAGTGGCATTGGGAAGTTAGTCAATATGTTGGCAAAGTGTGTTAATCGATAAGATTATTAGTATTTTATACAGTATTGTACTCACCTCTTGTACGTCGATGTTTTATATAAATTGAATATATTTTTAATTACTCAATATTATGCTATACTAATTTTTTAGTCGAGTGATTGCTGTGTTAACGCATTTTATTTATTAATTAATTAATCTTCTCACCACTTTAAAATCCTTTTAGATACCATCTGATAATACCTTGAGAAGAGATAATTAGTAAACTCGACACAATTTTTCTAAAAATGATGGCAAAACCGCGAAGCGAATATTTCGACTCCTAGATACTAGAAAAGTTAATTTATGTTTAGCATCGTTTACTTACCTTGAAAGTAAACGCTCTGTCTGTAAATCGTGGGCAGAGATCGTAGTTTTGTGGGTTCTCATGGTTTATGAAAAATATATTTTATTTCGTTATTTTATCGTGTTCTTGGTAGTAGCGTAAACAGTACGAGACACAATCATCGACAGTGTTTTTACGATTAACCGTTACGTCTACCGATACGTTTAAAATAATCAACAATAATTGTAATAACAATGCACCAAGATCTGCGTAATCCGTTCGTTCCATAATATTTTCCTTTGTGAAGTGCAACCCGAAACTTCGACGTGACTTTCATCGAGGATCGAACGGTTTTGGAATTTCAAAATAGTAGGAAACACGTTTGAAACGTATGTTTCCAAGCGAGCGTACAAATACGCCCGGAGTTATCGATGTAAGAATTGTTTACGCGTAAAGCTGAATACAAGCGGATGTGTCTGTGAAATAGATAGTTTAATTTACGGGGGAAAGTAATGAACAAATGCCACTTTAAGCCGAGATTAATTAATAAATTGACAGTCTTCGTGAATTTGATGAACGCAGCGAAACACTCTGCAACTTAAAAAGAAATACTTATTTACAATTGATCTTACGTTTACACCTACTAGCTAGCCACAGGAATGAGGTCCACGAACGAATACATGTTCATCGAATGAAGGCGCAATTGTTAGTCCGGTTCCGCTTTAGTTAAAACACTAAAGAAAACGCGTGGCAGAGCGGGCATAATTTATTTACAAGAATGGAGGGGACACGCAAATCGAAGCTCCGCAAATTTTCCTCGCGCGAACGAATTCGCGCCCGATGATAACGCATGCCGCGAATTTCATGTTTTTCGCACTTGAAACGGTCACGATAACACGAGATTGCGTGCACCAGGCATGCGGCCTACGAACAGAGAGATTAACGTTGCTACGTACGAGTTACTCGTGCCAAACCGAGGCTTACTCTAGGATGACGAGAGTGCACACGCTGGCACACTCGAGCAATTTCAAATGTATCGGTGAATTGCTGATAAAACGAGTTTGACATACTCCTCCGACATCGAGATGACAGTTTGCGCCCGTAAATTGCCTAATTACTCGATATAATAATCATCGAGAAATTTCCTCCTTAAACATATCATTAGATTGCGAATTTTATGCATTTATGACATACACTAATATAAAAAACAAATAGAAAATATACATATTGCATGTAGATTATATTCTGTTAATTAATATAATAATATTAATATCTCGTTTTGCATAGGTGCATGTTGATTACGTTTAATATACATTTACCATATTCATTTGTATCATGAATACATAAAATCTGCAGTTTACTTTCATTGTTACATTCGATTTAACGGAGTTTTCGGGTGTTATTCAGAAAAATTAAGCATACGTTACAAATTCTTTTCGAAGTAAAAAATATTTTTGTGTAAACTTTATACATGTATTTATCGATTCATATTAACGTTAAAGTAACTCCTGATCTAACCATTTGTAAATATTTCGTAATGAGTAATATTTTTTACTAGTATTATTAGTAGCAGAAAAAAACCTTGGAACCATTCCTTATTTTATTGCCTTCGAAAGGAATTTCTAAAGTATGGTTGGTCTTTCGATTGGTACACCATAAATACCCCTTAAAATTATTTCAATTATTCAAACATTTAATATCAGTAGTTTCGTCAACCTTAGGTAATTCAATTTAAATCAATCTTTCGGTATTACTTCACAATTTGACTTGTTGTTTTCGTCAATCAATTAATTACTCGCTAAAAAATACAAAAAAGATCAGTTTCCTGAAAGCATTCATGATAGCCCACTTTCTAGATTGTCGAATTACCCGAATTCATGACTTACTCCTGCGATAATAACGTTCAAATTTGACAACACAGGGTATTTCGTCGTTTCTAGTTTTGCCCAGATCGCGTCATATATCGAACTGGATAGCGTAACGCTTCTCAGGTAGTAATTTCATCAATCGCTTATTATTATTTCCCATAGTCAACGTTAATGACCGCGTACTCGTGTTTCCACGCAATCGATCCGATTGCTGGAAAGATCGAAAATTATACCGAACCGGAACGCGTGTACAATTGTGAAAAATGAGAAGCACGAAGTGAGACGGATATCTATGCGAAAGTACACAATCGATACCAACCCGAGTCCGAAGCGTTTAAAATTTATCCAAAAATTCGGACGCGCAATGTTTCAAGAACGTTCCATAGAAACGCGAGGATTTCCTTCGTCACTATCCCTTTTGTTTACGGCGCAAACTCCTTCGATAGTGGAGCATAACAACACATTTTCAGACTTTGGTTCTGATCTCGTGGCCAGATTCCGCGTTTGGGTAGAATCCCGAGGTCCGCGTCCACACTACCGTACAACGCGAATCCCGGTGCGCGTTCAGCTCAATGCTAACAGTGGTTCCATAGTCATGCGGGATCTCCTGGCCTTGTCGTCCTCGTATTGCTTCATTTTTATCAGTTTCCTTTTACCCTTGCTCTGCTTCTTCCTCGGCACTTCCGTCGTGGTGGTCGCCTCCGCGTTCGTCTGGCCTTCCTCCTCGAGCATTCTCAAAGTTTCGATGATGTTCCTCGGCTCCGTGATGCGTCCAGTGGCGCTACCATTTTTGTTCGCGTAGACCACGGACAGATGCGAGAAACTGGACTTGGGGGGAGCTGTGATATCGGCGAAGTCGCGGAAGTTCGCGAAGAAGTCTCCGCCGCGAACCGGTTGCGGTTTTGGGTTTCTGTAATAGTTTGCTCGGCCACGATTTCCGCCGTGGTAGTAGGGATTGTAAACACTGTCATCAGCGGAGTACTCATCGTTTTCCTTCTCCTCGGGATAGTACGTACCGCCTCGAATCACGCCAAAGTTTCCGGAACCTAGAAGAGGATGCTGAACGTCTTTCGCGGTCGCTGCCGAGGTTTGGAAGCCGCTGCGATCGCGCTGGAAGTATCCCAGGAATCTGTTGGGTCTGTATCGCTGCTCCGTGAAGGGAAGTCTGTGATTCGCAAAGAGCTCCGCGAACGAGGGGAAGAAATTTTGGCTCTCCGTCTCTAGACTCTTGATTTCGGAATCGGACACATCTGCTTGGCCAGTCTCCTCGGTGTTTTGTGCATCCTGGTCCTTGGTGACGTTTTGAGTTGTTGCGTTGCTCGAAGCTGCGACTGTCTTCTCGGTTAACTCGATGGATACGTCTTCGGTTGATTTCTTCGATTTTTCCTCCTCGCCTTTATCTGCATCTTCTGACTCGGCTTCGTCGGGTTCCATGTATATGTCCGAGTCGTCGCCATCTTCGTATTCTTCGTCTACGTTTGAAGCGGACACCACGGAGTCCTAGGACATACAAAAAAAGTGTTGTAATGTTACACTGGAGAACGTTTTCTTCAAATAATAGCTACAGTTCTATATATGTTTATATAATTTCGTGTAAAGTATAATTCTACATATTTGTATATAATGTTATACAGGTTGGTGCACCTACAATAATATTTGATTAGAAGTACACTTATCCCGTAGGGGGTTTGATAGCTTTAATGAAAAACAAAAGATAAGTATCGACAAATAAAACTCTACTTCTGTTAAAAGATGTGCCAAGATGATATGCGTTGGAGTTCCTTTCGCGGAGCTCATTGACTGATCACATAAAAGGCTAGGGTCTGCCTACTAGGACAACTCCGTCGTGTCCTCGCCTTGACATTTAAGACATCTTCGTGTCGACGACCGCCTGCAAAACTAGTTATATTACTTGTATCGAGCGTATGACGTGTATTTATACGTGCTGCACCTATATCTATACTGTTCGATATTACGCGTGCACTGTTATCTGCATAAGGAACGTGCACGTGCAGACGCGTGCATTGCTCACGCGTCAATGTTAATACAGACGATAGGCACTGGAATCAGTTGCAACACGCTAGTGACACACCTATCATTGTTACAAATATGTCAGGTCAACGCGGCGCGCTATAACTATATCTACCTACTCTGTATTCGTATACCACTTTGCTTCTGTAATCATTTCTACCGGTTCCTTTTTCAAAACCTATCTGAGGCTAACTATCGATACGTATTGGACATTCGATTATTGGTTATTTACCAGTGGGTAAGGTATGCAGGCTCTTCGATTGTATGGTAATTCGATACTCTTTACATGTGTAACAGTCGCTTGCTGTACAACTGTGTTACGAGTAACAAAAACTGCAAATTAAAATATTCGTCGTGTGTATAAATATTCATTACGCTGGGGTTGGATTAATTCGTGACATAGAAGTTTTTATTCTACACGTTTGTATAGAATAAAAATACACAACGTGTTACTTAAAAGTAGATATTATAGTAAACAATGCTGAAGTTATTGATACGAATACTTTTCTGTAAATCGATATGTAATGTTTACTGTTTTTGAACTATCATGTTTTAATCGATATTATATACAATTAGGATTGAATTATACAAAATTATCATCGAGGATGTCATAAATCAGCTTCATTAAGAGTAATTAGAATCACGTATATATTATTAGATAAAGTAACAGCGATACAAATTTTAAATAATCAGAGATGATGTACGCTTTCCTTAAGTATAATTAACTATCACATTAAAAGACTGTGTAAATAATTTTTCCAATAATTCTTCCATTCGAAGCGCGCAATATTTCTACTCGATGATCGCAGTGATTCTTACCGTCTTCGTACCGAGATAGACGTACCATTGGTCACAATTTACGATTGCAAGTGAGAATTTATGCATTCTCCAAAGTAGAACGTATTATCTTCCACGCGGCGACGAACATAAATAAAGGTACTAAGTTTCTGATGGGTCACGAATGCAGAAACAGTTATAAATCAATGAAGCGCAGAACATTTTCCGGCAAACAGACGCTGGGTTTAATGTGCACGAGCGTCCTTTTACAAAGGAACTAAAAGTGAATGTTATTTGGAGATTCATGGACAACAAATGCATCTTGCTCTTGTAAATGAAGGTGATAAATGAGCTGCTATGCCGCGTAATAACGGATGAGCACGATTCTGTTTGAACAATTCTGTCCGTGATCACAAAAGGAGATAATATCACGGTAAATTGCTTAGGTAGAATCCTTCAGTAATTTCAATTAGCGTAATTACGCGCTAGATTTTTACTGTGATAGTTTCTTCTCCTTACTGCACCTACCAAGCTATTGTATGAATGGTGATGCAATAGAAGACAAATTATCCTTTGGATTCGAAAATTGATAAGTATAATACTATTTCAACTAGTAAGCGTGTTAACAGAAGAATATTACGCAAATATCTAAAGATACAAATACATTTGTAAAAAAATACACACTACATCACTTAAAAGTAGATTGCAAAGTGATTGAGAAAATACACGAGTAATTATTCATGTAAACGGTTATGCTATAAAATATTTAAAAACGAAGATAAGAAACATAATTTATTAAATAATGTTATTAATTATACATATGTACTTTAGTGACACTGAAGTAGGTGTAGAATTGCATTTGTCTAATAAAAACAATTAATACATTTTATGTAAAAGCTTGTTCGCTAATCGAGTAATATGTGAATTATATACGTTTTTACACCACTTTTTATCACGAACATAGGTGGACATTCAGTTTTGCCAGTTACAGTACATTTTCCTAGGAGCACCCGTAAGGAGTAGTTGCCTTCTTATTTTCCCCATTTTTATAATAAATAAACATCGTAGAAAGGCAATGAAGTAACAAGTGAAAGGGTCGTTCGCTTGAACGAGATCAAAATCACGACAAATCTCCCGACATCCTCTACAACGATCGTAATACAGGGCACAAGAAGATAGATCGTGGCACCAGCTGACCGCAAAGGAAAGAAAAGGTGCTGTTATTAGCACGCGATTACAGAACGCAAATTAATCTTACGGCTCGTTCGTACAAGTAACACAACGCGCCGATGATTATTATATTAACTCAACATTTGTACGCGGGGAATCCAATTAGCTGCACAGTCCTAACCTCCCACTCCGCCGGCATAAATTATATGTGTATTAAGGGCAATCAGTCTACCGAGCTGCGGGCTATAGGATAGATGATCCACTATGTCGAGAGAAATAATCACGCCGCAAAGAAACGTGGATGCATTATTACGGATGCAGAGACGATAGACGCGAAAGTATCGCGCGAATCCTCAGGCGAAATCGTTCCAACGATTTTGCGATCGTGGGATATCGGCCTACGCTATTTTGATCTCATTCCAGATCAAAACTATCATCACATCATAAAAATGATTGATCGACTACTAATAAGGGAGTCTCTTCATTTATACGAATGAAACTGGTGTAGTTCATTATAGAGAATGATTCATTAAAATGCCATGATTCGATTTACATGTTGGAATGAGAGAACGCTTGCATAAATCTAGTTTAGTCGAATCAAACGAACGCGTTGCTTGCCGATCAAATTTTAATCACGCAGAGCTGATCAATGGTAAAAAGTGATATATTCCATGGAAGCTAGAATTACCTTTCACAATTAATCAGGGCTTGTTGGTATACGTAAATAGAAGAAAGATTTGGTTTATAATGCAAGAGTTAATTAACCACCTGGTTTGGAATGATTGTTCAGATCTGTAAATGTTCAAATTGAAATTAAAATCTAATTTTATCCACGCAAAGCTGATCAATGGTAAAAGTAATACATTCCATGTACAAAATATGTAGAATTACCTTTCGTAATCAATCAGGCCTTGTGAAGCTATGTGAAGAAATGATATTACACAAATTAGAATGATCTTCAGATGTATAAATATTACCTATAATTAAAATTAAAATCAATTATAATACCTTCAAAATGAAACAGCATGTCAATAATCTCGTATAGAATAATTTGATATACATAACCAAACCAGAACGAAATGATAATTAATAATATTTACTTAGGTTTTTAATATTGTTAATTGGCGGTACGATGTCAGGCACGTTTAATAGTTTTAGATAACCACGTAATAGGCTAATAACGTCGTTTATTAGTCATAATTAATGTTGCGTTAAATATTTTTGTCTGATTTCCTTAACTCTATGCGAATATGCGTTTTCCTCGTTAGGACATGTTATATACGTCTCATATCGCATAATTTTTCATAATAATACACGATAATGTCCTCGTATCCGTCAATGACAGTTATTAAATTGATAACCAAAGTAGAAGGCGCAACTTAATAGTTTTTAAATACTCGTGAAATGTTTAATTTAATACTTCAAGATTTATGAAGAACATGAATTCTATTACTAAGTATTATATAATTACATAATAAAACCAAGTTTGGTACAGTTATATAAAATCTCGATGCAGACATTTTTAATTCTCGTCATTATTACCTATCATAATAAACATTACTTTGAATGGCATGAATGGATGAAAGTTTACTGAAAGTTTTTATGCCTTCTTACTTAATTTATTCAGATACTATCTACAAACCTTAATGTATATATTGCGGAACCACTGAATAACGTAAGATAGGATAACATCTTTAAAGAAACACCATCTAAAATAAAAAGTTAACGCAGGCGAGAATATGGATTTTACTGCAGATGCATTTATAATGATTCTCTGGCGCAATAAATGTTTAATCGTATTCTTTCTTATTTTATGCTGCGAATAAGATCATATTTTATAAATGAAATATAAACTCATAAACTATCACGAAATATGCTAATATGTAGAATGAAAAGCCAGCAAGTTTAATAACTTGGCGAAGTAAATGACTCCATATTAATTTACACCGAGTCACAGTAAACGAGGTTGGGTGAACATATTTTATAAATAGCATCTAATTTTCTTATTTGAACTTTGAAGATAAAAGGTTACAATTATCAGGCAACCTTTCATCAGCTTTTTACCGTTGTTTTTTTCTTACCTCGTGTTCAACAGCATCCTCGGGGACTGGAGCTCCATCTGAAACAAAGAACGAGAATTTTGAAATAGGATCAACCTTAGAGATGAATATCGATTCTGTGATTCGTTACCAATATTACTAAAAATTCTGTTAGAGTTTCATACAGGAAAGGAATAAAATTATTTCATACTAAAAATGTAAAAGTAAATGTTAGTGGAGTTAGTGTTAACACATTCGCGACCGCTAACGTGAATTCACGTCACTTCAAATTCTATTTCTGGTTATGAAAAAATTACGAAAATCTTTTTATTCACCTAACGTCCAGCTTCAGAGTTTTATTATTTTCGTCAGTACTCGGTATTAGAAACGTACAATATCTGCCGATCGCGAATGTGTTAATAACTGAGAGATATTTTTAATTAATTTCATCCTTGCTGCAGTAATAATTTAATCCTTCTAATATCGTTACAGACATGCCTAGATTTGTCGGGATTTAAAATGAGATGAGACTTGCACAACTTCGCGAGCTACGCTGTTGAGAATAGCACAATATAAATCGATAAAAATGCAAAGTTGGAGGCGAGTTTGAAAGGATTAATTAATGAAACCTATTCGAGCGTGGAGGTACGACAGTTTTCTTTCATCGTTGTCAGAGGAGAAAGTCAATTACAGCGATGATAGGCTGCAAACGTTTAGCAACGACGTCTCCGGAGATCCACGTGGAGCGCTTTCAAAGTTAAAACGTTTCGTACAGTCATTCCCTTGGCTCCACCTGTCAAGTACAGTTTGAAAGACAAGATACTCAGTTAAATTCACCTCGTGCATTTCCTGCTTGCGGCTTATTTTTTGCTCCATGATTTTCTCTCTATAAGTTCGCAAGGAACAGAATTCAAGGGAAAATTATTTCTGTCTCATGGTCGTTTCTAATTGGATAAAACTTTTACGTAATCGAAGAAAGTATCTCAAGCTATAATAAGGAAACTTTAGCCAAACTTTTTGCCGATTCCCTTTGATACGCTGGAGTGCACGCGTCTTGTCTTTTGTTTAGACTTTTGCAATCCTACGGCGCAATGCTGACAAGAAACGAAAACAAGGAAGAGGGACTGAATGTATGTTTCGATATTCTGACTGGAATATTTATAACTCTTTGTAATATATTCAATACTATTATTAATGCATCATACTTTGAACAAATACATTTAATAAATTTCTATTCGTGTTGCCGCAAATAACAAACGATTCTTATTGAAAACAGTTGCCTAGTAACTGATACAACTTGAAATTAATGAATACCCCAAATACTATAATACTGAACTAATATCTGCCTATAATCTGCATGTTGTATCAGCACTTTTATGGTGGCAGTAAACATTCCACAAAGTACTGTACTGCGCGAATAGCACACTGGTACGCTTATAATTAACTAAACTAATTATAAAATTTCTAAACTAGTTACGAAAACTGGCTGTATAAATGAATGTTTATCTCCGAGACTATCGATCGAATCGAGTTCCACTGATTTTTCTTCTCGCACCGAGAAGGACTAACGACTTCAGGATAAATACACAAGTGTAATGAAAGAATCTTGGTGAAATTAAAGAGGTAAGTTTACACGTTCGTAGTGTTATCGTATACAGTAATAAATGTTAAATATTTGACGATAAAGAACGTTTCTGGTTGTTTGATTTTAGTTAGTTTGGAATTGCAGCAGTACAAAGGAGGCGTTGAATATTAGAATGACGTTTAGTATTGGTGCTTACTAGGTATACACAGTACCGCTCCTATGAACTTTAAACATTTAAAAGGCGATTCACCGATGTGCTATGAGAATTACGATATTTCATCATTGAAGAATGAAATGCGATTTCGTATCTTGTTAAACTTTATTTAAACGGAGAATCTTGAATGTGTAGGCAAGAACGTTTGCCAGAAATGTGCAGTTTCTTTGATGTATGTACATATATACAGGATGAGACATTTAAATGGGAACTGATGCATGATGCAGTTCCAGAATTGAAAACATATTTCTACATACAAAAATCATCGGAACACATGAAGAAACATTCTTTCCACGTCACATTGCCCTATAAATTAGCTTGAACAGTAAAAAACGTCGAAGATAAAATTCAATCTGTTTTATATTATTTTTACGAATTCAAATGTTTTAATTAGCTTATTCCAAACCTATTCATATACCAAATATATCCATAATAGAGGTACAAGTAACGTGTCAATTTTCATATTACATTCGGAAACTCTTGTTCCCGTTGATGATAAAACTGACGGTGATAGCGTCGTTTAGAACATTCGTCTCCAAAATGCGAATGACATGCTCCGTCCTATCGATCATACCTTATGTTACGCGATGACACAGATATCAGTCTTTGAGACGCATCAATATCCCTCTTCACTTTCTAAAGATGTGTTGCCGGTAACATCCGTGCAAGAGAACAATCAGCCGGTCGATGTCGAAAGATACGTGGTCGTGTTCTTGAGTAATAACGTATGGTTGACGCGTCACTTCTTCAGGACATATGTACGTTCTTCTTCTACTGTGCGACAGTAGCGATTATCAAATGTTAATCTGCCGTTTACGCAAGCCCCGTTCCTTGGTGATACTTTCTGAATTCAACAACAATGAGGATCATCCCAGCGGGAACTTGTCCCGTTTGTGGCGCGCTCTCGACATTGTTTACTCCATTGTTCGCGGCATGAACCGGAGGTGACGTTTCATTATTGTTTCTGTTTCCCGCCATTTGTGGTTAAAAAAAAAAGAAAAACAGCGTCTCTTTCTGTCTAACTATAACGAGATAATAGGATGAACCTGCCGACTTGGAAAGTCGCGTCCTACTCCACGGTTGTTGTTTTATATTCTCATAATCAGTGATCAATGGACATTTCAGGTAGAACTTTTTGTGGCTCTGCAAAGCAGAAGAATATAATGGATAATGTCTTAATGTGCTTTAAATGAATGGGTGTAACGATATTGTATTATAAAAACTATAATTGTAACACAATTAGATTATAACAGAATTAAAAATAATTCGAAAAATACTACAACAATCGTCAGTTAATCTTCTAGTTATAAAAACTGGTCCGATTGAATCGTCACGAATTCTTTTTGCACGTAATAACACTGCTTTCCTTCGGCTCACCGATCATTGTGAAGATTCAACGTACCGTCTCTGAAAAACGTAGTTTTTGTCAGTCATTGATATACATAGAACGCTACAAATTTAGGTTAGCAACACAAATCTGCAGCGAACCACGTGTAGAAGGTCATTCGTGAAAGAGAGCTACTGTGAGCATGTCCTTGCACCCTTTGCACGTGGTACGAGTACGGTTGTTCATCGTGCTGTATTCTCCAGACAATCACCCGTCCCACGTTCTCCATTTTTGCAATCATTCGAATGCCATCCATATCATTTTCATCGGTGCGATTGAAAAGCCGCTACACTGAACATATAGATGTAGCGGTTCTGCCTCTATCACCGATAGAAATACGTTTTTGGAACGAACCAGTATTCTATAGAATCCGTTCCTATTTGGCAAATGTCTATTAAGAAAACATGCCGCGTATAGGTGTCTTGCCAAAACGGCGTCGCAATCAGCGCGACCAAACGTTACATGCATATCTGCCATTTCTGCGCTCGTGAGTCTATCGTTGTCACTTCGAATAGGAGCTATCAGAAAATTCTATCATCAATGCTTGTTACTGGGAACCCTCTGCAAGTAGCAATTTCTAGTTTAAATGGAAACAAGTGATAGCATATTATCAGGGCCGGGGTGACCTTTTGCGGGGCCGGGTTCAAACATTTTGCGGGGCCTGAATTCACATTCAAATTCAACGAGAAATTATTTATTTACAAATTCTGTTGCATATTATATATTTTCTTATAAGATGAATATTAAATAATAATACTTTGATGATTTTTGTCACTCCTTCAAACTGAATCATCGTTATTAAAAAAATGTCTTGCATCTGTTAATGGTATCATCATTCCGTAAAAAGTTAATCAACATTTTCGTAGACCGCCAAAATACGGGGCCGGGTTCCAGCGAACGCGCTGAACTTGCCTTGCGCCAGCCCTGCATATTATAACAGAAAAGAAATGAATATACAAACTCTGATATGTCCCATTTTATTTTATGTATCCTTTACTTTCAAAAATGTTGGATGGTATTATCCACGTCAAAAGAGTAGATGGAGGTGCTCATAAAGTATTACTCAGTACCTATATTAAACAACTGAGTGTATTCATGTCCAGAAACATTATGAATATTCCTTTTCATAATTAAACATCTTACTGATTCAGTTTCAAGGAATCTGTTGTCGCATTTATGTCTTCATTGAGTTTCACCTTGAACTAATTGCATTCATACTCCTACGTATTTGCTGTAAGTATACGATGGAAAGATGATCAAAACGGGTTCAGCAGATTATTGTTTTAATTATATTGAAGTACTATGTAAATTTGCAAGCTGGAACAAATATAGCGACAGTATACATGCACATGGGAATAAAGTTTATTACCCAACATTTCGAATCTGGGCTCTTTTCGGGGGAATCCTCTGTTACTGTAACGAGATCGACGGGATAGCTTGCTGTACATTGATATTAAGTTAGTTTTCATTTATATTTTTTACATTGTACATTCAGTTTCATAGTAATTACTATATTCTGCTCAAAATATAGCATGTAACATATAAAACATTAATGTATGTACTTGAAAATTCGTCTTAAAATTACTGGATTATTGTCAAAAATATATATATCTAAATAACTGTGGTTCTCCGACTCCACTATGGTGTTTGAACTAGACACTAAAAGGTAAGCAAAGTCCTATTTCACTTGTACAATAAGCCTAGAGTAAAACATCCAACACAGTTGAAGTTCGCACAAATTTTACTTGTCACAAATCTATCGCTTGTAAACTAGCATTATATTATACAATCTTATTACAACTTTTCTTCTTAGAAGTAACATACTTATATAATTAAATTAACAACTAGCCATACATACTATTATACACGAAAATGAGTACAGGAAGATTTCTCTACGGCAATATGATTGTTTATCTTCGACCTATGCGCGCACTGTTTATCTTCGTGTCCTCTCAATCTATGCGTACATTGTTTACACCTACCTACTGACGACACTCGTACTATATCGTTTCTGTTGTTTAATGTACTTTCAGATCTGTTTCCTACGATATTCATATCGTTTTCTTTATCGTTCGCTTGTAACTTAATTTTGTCTACCCTGGAATGTAATGTACGCATTTGTTCTTGCGTGGCATCGGATTCATCGCATTGAATTTTTTTCCACGTTTGTTTACGTGACAACGTGTCACGTAATATATATATGATAATACATACACATATGACATACATTGATTTTGACAACACTTCTGCACTACAAAGTTAGTTATATATATATTTTTCGTCGGTAGTTTTAATGTTAATGATATAAGTATATAAATAAATTTCGTTGTCAAGAGTAAGTTTTAAAATTAAACTGTAAGTACAATTGCTCTTGCACTCAGTTTCGTTCGTCAATGAAATAACTAAGAAAGACTAGCTACAAGTTTTTATATTTTTAATGAGCTCAGTTTCCCATTCACGACCACTCATGTAACGACAAGAAAATAATTAAATTCCTTTTCGAAGCTAGTATCGCAATTCCAGTAGAATTTTTCCAACCGAACGACCACTTCCGGCAGAACAACATACGAATTCACGTGATCTACTATATGGGTTTAGTGGCAATAGAATAGATTACACGTTCAGCCGCGGTACATCGCAAACACAAAATAGAGTTTTTCATTGCTAGGTAGACGGGACTGCTTTGAAATTGTAATACGCAAGGGAACGACATAATCAAATCGCAAATCAAACCGGATTCTTATGACCGTTCGGCAAACCGACGAGGAAGTGATTACCATCGTTCGAAATACGAAACACACTCTTGCTCCTTTTTTCGCCCTGAGTCGCAATGAGAAAGGACTTGGGATATTACGTACCCACCGCGAAACGCAGGGAAAATTTGTGCCCGGACGATTGAAATCGTGGATTAGGCGCTTCCTACTTTCAGATTGCGGGCCATTTTGAAAAATCCACTGGAAGCCAGAAGCAATATCTCCCGCATCAAAGCGGCGTAACGAGATGTTTGAGAGACCTTCCTGAGTGATATCTGGGTAATATTTTATCGACTGGTGAACGGCAACGTAAGCATAATCGGGACGTTTAAATTCGCGTACCAGGGGCACTCGTGCCGTGGGTTTAATTAATATACTCGCATTTAGTATATTAAGTGGAAAGCTATCTTTGGTTCCAAGATCCGGGAGACAAGGTTACATTATTATAAATTTACGCGAATTCGTTGCGCGCCAGGAATGCGCACTTCCTGCATCCTATTCGGGAAACTTGATCGCGAAGATTCTGCGAGCCAAGGGAAACTTTGTTTATATCAGAGGGAGAGATAACCACGATCAAAGAACGACGGTAACATGAATGGAGTATCTCTAATTGCGAAATGGAAATCTATTAATGATTTCCAAACCGTTTGTAGACGTAAGCGAGACTCATTTATGATAATGTCAGAAAGAAACTTACCTTAGGTAAGATGATAAAGAAATTTGATGAGTGAACTGGAATAACGATATTTTAAAGTAATTTTAATAAGCACTAACTCAACTTATGCAACTTATTGCAGTCTTTTTTAGTGATTTTTAACGCTTTCCTTATTAAATAAAGTATAAATTTAATTCTAATTACTAAATGTAACTAGAATTTTCACAGGGCTCCATATAAAATATTTGCAATGATTTATACTGTAAGGTAGGTATCATAAGAAATGTCTGGTTAATAAAATGTATAGATTTCAAACGAAAGTGCTCTGGCAAAAATTAAGAGGACTAAAGCAGGATACGATCCAGGTAGAAATAATTGATGGAGAACGAAAGATCTATCCAAAGGAGACGGTCGCGCGTCGCGATTGGTCGGTCGAGCAGGCTTGGTGTATTGCATTATAAAGTCGTACCTTCAACCTCTTCGAATGATAGCACAATTGATGAACAGAGGTGTAATAAAGCACCTTTGTGCGAAAGAAATCCTACTTGCATGCTAGAAGTTTTCCATCAATAATCGTTAATGAGACAAGCACTTTATCGAGGCGGTATTCCGAATACCCTAACGATTTCGAAACGCAATTTAGTCGAGAACGGTTTCATCTCAAGTGACGAACGCGGTGTGTTCCAGGAACTAACGTTACCAGACGCGAGACTACCTCGTTAATCCTAGCCATCGTGATCGCAAACTTCACGCGGTTGTATCCGTATCTAAAATCAACGACACCGACACAATCCGAGGGTAATTGAAAGTACACCGACGATGGAAGACGCGTCGAACTGTTGTGATAATCTGCATTTATTCGCGGCAGGGACGCTGCTTCAGATTTAATTGAACGCTATTTCATTAATCTTCGCGCAGGTAGCAAGGATCTTGTCACCGTGGCTCGGTTAGCTTCTAGAGCACTTCTCATTCATTTGTTGCTATGTATTTCAATAGATTCAAACTGCCTAGGGTGGTTACGTTCGGAGATCGTGCTTGTGCACACGTGTACATGTACATGATCACGAATGTTTCTACTTGAAAGCAGTTTCAGATGAATATATCAGTCTTTAGGGGAATTCGTAACGTTATGACGCTTTTCTGTAATAATACACCACAATTGAATTTATATATTACATGAAAATTTTAGTTTTCTGTACAGGTTTTCATATGTAGATTGCATGTTCAGCTGCGATATTACACGATGAACATACATGCTGATTTATATTCACCATGATTCAGCGGTCAAATTACACACTGGTGGACTGAATATCAACACTGAATAGCAATTCGATCTCATCAGTATATACATATTTCTTCATTTTCTATAATAATGATAAATTATTCGAAGATTCAAATATGAAACTAATCGTTAATATAAATTAATTAATAGAAACTAAAAATATCTGCCGGGCGTGAATGTGTTAACAATGACCAG